CACTTCCTAGTTCCTAGTCATTGGTTACGCTCTCTCTTCCGTCTCTTTCTTCTTTTCTTCAAATTCATGGTTAGGATTAAAAAAAGGATATTTTTGGAAGGGAAAAATATTACCACACCAAATCATTCTCCCTCCTATATAAATAAATAAATAAATAAATAATCTAACTCCTCCCTTTCTCCCTCCTTCCCCTCTCCAGCAGACGGCACCGCCACTGCCACCATCGCCGCCCGCCGTCGTGCCTCCTCTCCTTGCCTCTTCCGGTGTGAGTCCCTCTGCCACTATACTCTTCCTCTCCTCTCATTCGTTTTTCAGATCTGTGCTTTTTTTTATTTTCATATCTGGTTTATTTCTAGTGGTAGTGATTTTCTTCGGGTAGTGGTATCATTTTGTACCGCTATCAACTACCAGATGGTAGTGGTAGCGCTGTACTAGTAGTGGTACCAATGGTAGTAGTAGCGTACCACTAGCGCACTGACAGAGTGGTAATTTTTTACAGGTAGTCGGAGTGAGTCTGATTCAAGGATTTCGCCGGAAAAAGCCTGTCGGTCAGAAAATCAGCCGGCCAAACTGGAGTGACTGCTGGAAAAGAAAGAGAGAGATAGGAAAAGAGAGTTGTATTTATATTAGGATTTAAATTTAAAAAAATTATGTATCTAATTTGGGATTTTAATTCCTAATATGTAATTAATACAAAACAGCTTAATTAATAAATTCATTTTTTTATTTATACTCAAAATACTGTTGGTTGTGAATCTCACAACCCCTAAGGGAAGTGATTGTATCTCGCTCCTAGTTTTGTCTCTAAGTTATGTAACCAAATCTCAACATTTGGATTGAGATTAATGTGCACCTCTATTTAATTTTGCATAAAATTGAATTCCTATCGTTTCAATTTAGATTATGGGTTAATATTTTCGTATGCCCTGAACTTTGACCAAAATAAACATCCTGGCCAATCTTTTCGATCTATAACATCCTGGCCCGAACTATACACCAAAATAAACAATTTGGCAAAACCCGATGTTTGACAGTTAACTTGGACGGTCAAACGCGTTGACTACGATCAACGCGCCACGTCACTACCAAGTCAGAAGATCTGATAAATATTTAATTTTTTTGTTTTTTATTTTTGGTTTAACTAAGATATTAGATGATTTTTTTAATTTATAATAATTTAAAATTAGGGAATGTGTGGAAATTGTGAATTATTTTAAATATTTTATGCTGACTTGGCAGTGACATGGCGCATTGACTAACGGTCAACGCGTTTGACCGTCCAAGTTAACGGTCAAAAGTCGAATTTGGCCAAATTTTTTATTTTGGTGTATAGTTCGGGCCAGGATGTTATTGATCGAAAAGATTGGCCAGGATATTTATTTTTGTCAAAGTTCAGGCCATACGAACATATTAACCCTTAGATTATCTATTTACCGCACATAAAATTAGGTAAAGATTCTATAAGATGCCTATTTTGTCATGTCTCATACTTTGGAACAAAACATTTTAAATGCTTATGAGAAAACTTGTTCACGTTTTTGTACCAAACAATATAGAGGTGGTATGTTTTACCAACGTGGTATACGATATACCTAATTGTGAGTACGGCTTCAGAAGGTGTATAATTTTTTTTGGTAAAATATATTAGGAGAAAAATAAACATCACTCAAGAACAATAGGGAGCAAAAGGAAAAAAAAAGTCATTTGACCTCATCTAATGGATTGATCGAAGAACTGAGTACGCACCTTGGTCATCCAACTAGCAACAGCTACATGCGACCGTTACAACATTGCTCTTCTCACAAATGAAGGATAGGGACGACGACCCCGATTCAATTATGCATAATTTTTGCACAAATTAGCTATGCACCTGTATATAACCTTATTCTAGCCATATATTTTTTTATATCTTCGAATATAATGACTACTATTAACTCATTATCACTTGGTTCAAAGGTTCAATTATACTAATGTATTTTGGTAAAATTTTAACACGTGTAAGCATATTTATTTCAAAATTTGGTAAAATCACATAGTACAAAATTCATTTAAAACTCGAGTATCCACATACCCCAAAGAGCCAAAACAATCAAAGTATCAGCAGCCTAGAAAACACCTGACCTATTTCCTGAAATAAACGGAATTGTATAGTTCTTAACTCCCACCACATGCGTCTAAGCCTACAACCTCTCACGATTTGCCTTCTCATTATGCTCCCTCGCCATAGAAAGTAACGGCCATTGATGATAAAGCTCCTGACTATGAAAACGAGGGAAGAAAGTATTCTTGTGAACAAGAAGCTAATGCACTGTCTGTCCTTAACCTCAACATTGTTTTGTATTTCCACCTCACCAAAAAAATTCGCCAAACAGGGCAAACACAAATTTCCAGACCAAATGCATTGCTCCAGGGAAGTTGGGCTGCTGCTCAACTTGTTAGCAAGCATCCTGTTCGCAGCTTGTCAGGGAAATTCGGCTGAATCCGATAGACATTTCGCACGTTTCGTTAGGGCAGTCGATCCCCAGAACAACCTGAAACTCTCCTGGAATGGAGCAGCACTCCCCCACCCTTGCGAATGGACGAATCGGACGAAGAACAGCCTCGTCAGGTGCGATTCTGATGGAGTAGTGACTGAGGTCAGGCTGGAGAATCTCAACCTGTCAGGAAAATTCGATGCCGATTCTCTCTGCAAGCTTCCAGGCTTGCAGGTACTCAGCCTGGCAAGAAATTCCATCCATGGTTATATCCCGGACTCTGTCTCTTCCTGCAGGAATCTCAGGTACTTGAACCTGAGCAGCAATCTGCTCAGAGGCAGGGCAGCTCTGGTTCTCAAAAACCTGAATCATGTCAGGATCGTCGATATCTCGAGAAACAACTTCACAGGCTCCCTACCCAAAATTAGTTTGGCATTCGGGGATCGAGGAACTGGGTTTTCGATCAAACTGTCATCAACATCAACATCGTCAGAGGATTCAGGGAGCCCTGAATCTGAACCCCAGAAAGGTTCAGCTGGAACACTTGAAAAGATACTACCAGTGGCTCTTGGTATTGCAGTGATTATATGTGTCTATTTCCTGGCCTACTTTGTCAGGAAGAGGGTGCTTAAAATGTCGGAAGAGAAGAAACTGATCAAGATGTTATCGATGTCTCCTGCCAAAACTAGTCCTCCATCAATGCAGTTGTGCCCCACACAAGTGAACCCTGAAGAAGAGACCAACAAGTCGGAGCTGGTGTTCTTTGTGGAGGACAAGGAGAGGTTCAACTTAGGGGAGCTGCTCGAATCGGCGGCCCACTTGCAGAGCCAGACGATCTGCAGCAGCCTGTACAAGGTGATACTCAACGACTGTGCCATTTATGCCGTAAAGAGGCTGAAAAAGCTGCAGGTCTCGTTTGATGAATTCGGCGCGGTGATGAGGCGGGTCGGGAAGCTGAAGCATCCCAACATCCTGCCTCTCATAGCTTTCAGTTCTAACCATGAGGAGAAGCTGCTGATCTACAAGTATCAGACCAATGGAAGCCTCTCCAACATACTAGACGGTAACAATGTCATCAAAACCCTCCTAGCTTAGTTACTAGGTTAACAATTATTTCATAATTGTAAACTCCTAAGTAACTGAAACAAGGTTAGAAATGAATCATAGTCCAATCACTCAACTTGACGGTCCACAAACTTATAGGACCGTAACTCAAATGTTGGTATCACGGGTTGTCAGCATTCGCTTATACGAGACGTTGAGGCCATTACAGGCTCTGATTGTGCACAATTAAGTTTACTATTGTTGAATGTGCAGGTAGCATTGTAACGAAAATGTAAGTTTCGCGGTTTGTCAGCATTCGCTTATGCGATTAAACGCTCTAATCGGGCACAATTGAGTTTACTATCGTTGAATGTGCAGGCAGCATTGATGGAAAGAGGGAGTTCCCGTGGAAGCTAAGACTATCCATAGCAAGCGGCATTGCAAAGGGCCTAAACTACATATACAATCATCAAAATCCTGTACCGCACGGGAACCTGAAGCCTTCGAACATCCTGCTGGACGACAACGACGAGCCTCTGATCAGCGAATACGGGTATGCAAAGTACAGAGACCCCAAGATCTCGACCATGTTCTCGTCGAACGGCTATAGCGCCCCTGAGAAGGAGGCGTCGGAGAAGGGCGACGTGTACAGCTTCGGGATCATACTGCTTGAGCTCCTGACAGGAAAGACAGTGGAGAAGAGCGGAATCGACCTACCGAAATGGGTGAGGTCCATGGTGAGGGAGGAATGGACCGGCGAAGTGTTCGACAGGCGGATAACCAACCCTGCTAGAGATCAGTATGGCTTCCATCTCTTAGACATTGCCCTGAAATGTGTTTCAGGAAAGCCAGAGGACCGGCCGGCGATGGCGGTGGTGGTGGAGAAGATTGAGGAGGTGGCTAGTGCCAATGATGATGTTTCGATCTCGTCGTTGGCTTCGGCGGATCAGTTCAGCCCCAAGGATTGTTGTTTGCTTCATTCGATGATTCCTGAGACATGGGACACCCCTGGATCCAATTACTAGAATGGTGAATCAGAATCAAATGAAATGGGTGTTTGCTATTGGTTTCTGGTTGGTTTTCTTTTTGCCCATTGCCAAAATTGGTACAAAGTTCTGGATTCGGTTAGCTTTATCATTTTCGGATTTCGCGTTGTTATATTTCATAGATTTCAATAAACATTACAGGTTGTATTCTTCTTATAGTACAACAAAAATGCTTTGTAGTGTCATTTTCGGACATTGGTTACAAATGCTGAAATGTTGGTGTAGTCTTGCAACGATAATTATGTGAAATGTCAATTAATTTCTCCTGGATGTTGTTTCTATCATTGATGTGTGAAGTTAGTGCAACATTTACAATAATTCACGATATCAACATTGTCCAACATGTAATTCTACGAGTAATTAGCATAACCGGTCACTGAACTTTGCACTTAGTAGTATTTCCAGAATTACTGCTAACTTAAGGAAAAGAAAAAAAATGCGGGGAGCTCTCTCCTCTCTCCTCGTGCTCTGTTGCTTTGCCGGGCAAATTCTGGTAAATTCGGTGGTAGCAATCCTTCGAGTTAGCCTGAATAATAAGAGCTGGCGCTGTCAATGGAAGTCCCACCAGGCTCCCAGCGGCCCAAGTGGGCGGTCGAAGCGGAATCCCCAGAAGAAGAGCAAAAGGATCTGTTCAATTGGGCAGATTGGAAAGGGGGATTCTTGGATAGCAGATGTGAACGCTGTGACTAGAAAACGAAGGGTAGGCTCTTGCCCGGTGTATGTTATGCCTCGACCAAAAAAGGCTCGAGTTTCAAAGAAGGTGTCGTGGCGATTTGCGCTTCCCCTACCGAACGATTTTGAGGTGATCGGAGTTGTGGATGAAAACTTACTCCCGAAAATCGTCGTCGGCAGGGATATGGATAGCACAACGAGTGCTACGTCAGTGGATCTGGCCTATGGAGGGCGAGAATCCCACCTAGAAAGGCTCCCCGGTCGTGCGAATCCGAGTTTGCAGCCATCAGAGTCTAGGCAAGGGCAATCGCCGCCGATGGCTGCAAAAATTGACCTACCGGAAAATTCGCCTAGAATCTGGAGGGTTGATACACCCTGTGATAGGGATTTTCCATTGGTCCAAGAGATTACGTCCTGGCAGTGGGTCTTTTCTCTGACCAAAATTGAAATAGAGAATCCCACTTCCACTCAAACTCGGACTGTGTTCAACCAAGTTGGGAATTCTACTCTTGGACGATCCCTCCCGTTTGCCTATTTATTGCCGTTGCGCCGAACCCTGCCTCACACAAAAACAAAATCTCGACGAAGCTCGTGTTGGGTGGTGACATTGAATAACACAGATCTTTCCAAGGAGATTCCTAATTATGATAAGCGACAAACTGGTCCTGAGTTCTCGACCCCGTTTTGCTCTCGCTCCCCTGTGCTCATGTGATTCTCTCGCTGCTCTCTAAGCCTGCGTACCCTTACCTTCCCAATTCTAGGAAGGACAAAGGAGGATAGCATGGCCGAAATGGCCAACGACATGCCATCTAATCCTGTTTCTGATTTGCAGGATCGTGCTAGGATGCATGTTGCTGATGACCAGGTGGTAAGCTTCTCCCTTGAGGAAGTACATGTTGCAAAAAATTGAGGCACTCGATCAGTGCTTGGGAGAGTTTTCTTGAGCAGCATAATGGCTACGATGGAGCAGCGAGATGGGGTGAACACACCTTGGCAGGGAAAGGGTCGGATTCGTGTACTGGAGGCTAAACAAGGGTTGTATGAATTCATCCTTCCCAATGAAGCTTCAAAAAATTGGGTGTTGAATCGCTCACCATGGGTGATCAGGGACAAAATCCTGCACCTTCGTGCTTGGACGCCGATCATTAACAAAAAAGTTTATGATGATTTGGCTGTTGTCCCCTTTCAGGTGTAGCTTTGGGATATCAATGAAGATTTTTGCACTCCTCAATTTGGGAGAAAACTTGTAAGCGAGACGATTGGTCGAGTTCTTGAGGCTGGGGTGTTTGTGTGTCAAGAATCAGATAAATGTTTCGTGAAGGTGCGGACTATGATTGATTTCACCAAGCCGTTGCGTTCGCAGCTGATGGCGACCAACGAGGAAACAGGTTGCTTTTGGGTCACTCTGAAATATGAGCACCTCCCGAGTTTTTGTTTTCATTGCGCGAGAGTTGGTCACTTGCGTGGGGAATGCTCCTTTGAGGCACCGACAATGAAAGAGCGCTTTGGCCCGCACATGTCCACGAAGAAGTTGGGCACCCGATTCTACGATGCTGAGGATGACAACCCTCCTTTTCGGGGTAACCGGCGCACTGTCTGGGTTAACAAGGACCTTCGGGCACCAAAGGAGAAGGCGGGAGACTTGACATAACATATGTTTGGAGATGCGGATGCGCAATCTGCTGCCCCAGAGCGGACTGCTTCGCGCCGCCTTCAACAGGACGAGATGTGGTCTCGTGCCCCTCAAGTGGATGCTGCCAAAAATGTGAAACTCTTGGGCACGAATCGAAGTCCTAGAGGCTTCCTTGTAGCCAAAACCCCTTCCATCTGTCCCAATCGAAGCTTGCGTCGCGCTGGCAATCGTGGGAATGGGTTTGTCCTGGGAGAGCAGGGGGGTCAATCCCGAACGGATGACCTGGTGACCGATGCAATAGCTATGGATGCTAGGGTGATCCCCCAAAAAGGCTAAGAAGCAGCCAAGTAAATGGGCGCCAAGAAAACTAATCCAAAGATGGAAAAGGTGCTGCGACCGGGCAAGGAGGGCCCTTCCCACCACCGAAGGCTGCTGTTAGATGACTCGGAGGATGATTTGCTAGATATGGATACCCAGCCACCTGTTGAGCACATAAGTGATGATGTGCATCGCATGGCTCGGAAGGGCGGTACCCGTCTGCACGACCTAGCGCCGGTTCAAGAAATTCTCCCACGATCACCTTCTGCTATCTTGCGCCCTAGGGAAAACCGCCAACGGCAAACTAGGCGGGGTGGTGATCGAGCTGCGAAGGAAAAGGCCTGTGAGGCAGTTGTCAAACTAGAAACTGATCGAAAGGGAAGCTGCTGGTGCAAGACTAAGATTTTGAGGAATGGGAGTCGGTTTTGACTGATGAGTTGTCTAACAGTCTCTCTCCCGCTTCCCCAGTTGCACGTTTGCGAAAGGAAGAGCAGGTAGATGTCCAGGTGATGGCCGAATCAGATGCCACACTATCAGATGGGGACGAACAATGCTTTGAACTTAAAAGTCAAGCACTGATTTCGGGGTCGGGTAGTTCCCGCCAGGCAGTGACCTGTTCATTGCCCACGCAGTCTGATTGTGTTTGGCAAGTTGTCCTTGCATTCGAAGCCCAAAATGGTTCTACGAATGTGGTGACGGGGCAGATGGCGAACCAAGTTGGGAATGAGCCGGGTCTCGTGCTTGATGAGTATGGGACCAATGCTACTATCCCCAGAATTGGTGAGCGGAAGAGATCATTGCAGGAACTGTGGAGATCTGGAGGATGACCCCATAGCCAAAAAGCAATTTGTGGAGGAGAATGATGATCATGAGCATAATCAGGTGGAGGAAGCCAGCCGAAAATGGCCCCAGTCCGATAAATGAGGCTACTGGCCTGGAATGTGAGAGGAATTGGACCATCCCTCACATTCCAAACTGTTTAGGTTTAATCCATTCGAATAAACCGGAACTTGTTTTCTTTTTGCAAGGCCGTGTCGGCGTGTCGTTTCCCGTCGTATGCGGGGTTTAGGTTTTTCTTCTTCGGATTGTTGTTTTGTAGATGTTGTTAATGCATCTGGTGGTCTAGTAGTAGCTTGGTCCCCCGGAGTGGATGCTTCGATGTTTTCCCATTCAAACTTTTTCATTTGTGTTCAGATTAATGAAGAGAATTTTTCTTATATTGTGGTCTGTGTTTACATTAGTTGTAATGATTCGATAAGAGCAGCCCAGCTGACTCAGTTGCAAGGCATTTGCATGGATTTTGACTTGCCTTTTGTCATTATTGGTGATTTTAATACGGCGTTGCATGATGGAGAGAAGGATGGCGGTAATCCCTGGAATATGGATCAAGTGGTGGCCCTTGGTAATTTTGTACATGACTTAGGTCTCCATGATCCTGGTTATCAGGGGGATCAATTCACCTGGACTAATAAAAGGATGGGCTTAGCTTGTATTCGTGAGCGGCTGGACCGTGCCCTCTGTTCTCAAGCGTGGATTGATAGATTCACGGATACTCTTGTCAAACATTTCATTGATCAAGGCTCTGACCATAGAGCTATTCTCTTGGTAGATAAGGCTTATGCCCGTAATATCCGACCCCTCTTTTGCTTCGATGCACGCTGGGCTGATAATCCGGAGGTCCGTGCTATGGTGCATTATGTTTGGCAGGAAGAGATCCATGGATCCCCTATGTACCGTCTCTGAAGCCGACTGAAGAAAATCCTTCACCTCTTGTATGATTGGAGTAGGGCGAGGACCACTACCTCCTTGCGTAATATACGGACTCTCTAATCGGAGATTGAACGTATTAAGGAGAGTCGTCCGACTAATTGGGATGAGGTCCGGGTTCTGGAAACGGAACTCAGCCATCAATGGGAAGAAGAGGAGATTTACTGGCAACAGAAATACAGGGTGCAGTGGTTGAAAAAGGGTGATCAGAATTCGTCTTATTTTCATACGATTACTCATATCAGGAGAAAGCGGAACTTTGTGGCAGGCCTCACGAATGACTTGGGTCAATGGATCATGGACGAAAAGGGCAAGGCGGATATTGCCTGCGATTTTTATCAAAACCTCTTTACGTGAGAAAATCATATCCTTGACATGGATGATCGAGTGGCTGCTCTACCTTTGCTGCTCAAGGTGACTGCTGAGATGAATGCAAACCTAACGACTGATGGTCTACCTGACGAAGTTCGGCTCACTGTCTTCTCCATGGGTTCTAAACAGGCGCCGGGCTCGGATGGGTTTACTGGGAAGTTTTTTAAAACCTTTTGGGATATTGTGGGAGGTTTAGTGGTTGAAGCTGTCTGTTCGTTCTTTCGAACGAGTTGGATTTTATGAAGCTTTAATCACAACTGGCTCACTTTGATCCCGAAGGTTGATAATGTGGAGTCGGTACGGCAGCTTCGCCCAATAAGTTTTTGCCAGTTTGTGTACAAGATTATGACTAAATGACTCGCACAGATTCTCCCGAACGTCATCTTCGAAGTTCAAAACGCGTTCATCCGGGAGAGACAAATTGTGGATAATGTGCTTTCTGGGGCATGAAGTTATGTGTTACCTCAAAATTAAAAACCGCGGGAAGAAAGGGTATATGGCTCTAAAGGTTGACATAGAAAATGCCTATGACAGAGTCGAATGGCCTTTCCTCTTTGCGGTTCTGTCAAAGTTGGGGTTCTCTCATACGTGGATTGGATGGGTCCGAGAGTGCCTACGCTCTTCATCATTCTCGATCCTCATGAATGGCACACCCCATGGTTTATTTCATCCTACTCGAGGTCTCTGGCAGGGTGATCCACTCTCCCCCCCCCCCCCCCCCCCCGCCCTCTTGTTCGCCTTGTGCACAGAAGGGTTCAGAGCCCTCATCCAGAAGGCAATTTCTGAGGGAAAATTGGAAGGGGTTAAGGTCGCTCCCCGGGCACCAAGGATTTCTCACTTGTTTTTTCGCTGATGATTCATACCTCTTTCTCAGAGGGAATTTGGGAAAAAATCCAAAAGTACCACTGTTTAAAAAAAAATTCCAAAAATACCACCCAACCCCAAAAAATTCCAAAAATACCACCTTTTTCAAAAACCGCCACCCCACCCTGCGGTTTACACGAAAACCGCTTGTCGGCGGTGCGGTTTTCTATGCAAACCGTGAGCCTAGGGAGCGGTTATAAAAAAAAAAATTTGGACCAAACCAAACCGCCACCCCACCCAGCGGTTTGGTCCTTTTTTTTCCGATCAACTCCTAACTTCGGCCGAAACTTCAAACGAACGTAACTTTGCACTCGGGTATCCGATCGTAGCGATTTGTTCTTTCATTTCGCATAAATTTTACAGATCTACAACTTTTACTAGGATAAAATTTTCAAAACAGGAACTATTTGTGGATATACGAGACCTTGAGAATAACTTTACCTTTACTTTTCACAAATCCATGTACATTTATAAATTATGATTATATTAAAAGTTGTAGATTTTGAAAAGTTATGCGGAATCAAAAAAAAATTATAACATTCGGATTTTGGAGCACAAAGTTATGGCCACCCCAAGTTTGACGAAAGGCGCGACCCGGCGCTATGCGGCTTGCAAGATCTCAAAAATTTTGCGGCCTCCATTTTTTGAATCCGAATAACTTTTTGAGATCTTGCAAGCGGCAAACCTTTATGTTCCGCCTTCGTCTCGAAAAAACGTCATTTGCCACCCCGAACGAGCCTTTTTTTTATTTCGTCAAACTTTGGACGGCCATAACTTTGTGCTCCAAAATCCGAATGTCATGAATTTTTTTTTATTCCACATAACTTTTAAAGATCTACAACTTTTACTATAATCATAATTTCAAAATGTACATGGATTTGTGAAAAGTAAAGGTAAAGTTATTCCCAAGGTCCCGTATATCCACAAATAGTTCCTGTTTTGAAAATTTCATCCTTGTAAAAGTTGTAGATCTTGAAAAGTTATTCGAAATGAAAAAAAAATCGCTACAATCGGATACCCGAGTGCAAAGTTACGTTTGTTTGAAGTTTCAACCGAAGTTGGGAGTTGATCGAAAAAAAAATTGGACCAAACCGCTGGGTGGGGAGGCGGTTGTGGGCCAAACCGCCACCCCACCCAGCGGTTTGGTCCAAATTTTCTTTTTATAACCGCCCCTAGGCCCGCGGTTTGCATAGAAAACCGCGCCCCCGACAAACGGTTTTCGTGTAAACCGTAGGGTGGGGTGGCGGTTTTTGAAAAAGGGTGGTATTTTTGGAATTTTTTGGGGTTGGGTGGTATTTTTGGAATTTTTTATTAAACAGTTGTACTTTTTGATTTTTTCCGGGAATTTGCAACAATGTGAGAATCTAATTGTTGTGCTAAATGAATATGAAGAGCTTAGTGACCAGAGTGTCAATCTGGCCAAATCGGCGGTCTATTTTAGTAAGAACATAGATATCCAGGACCAGGAATTCTTGGCTCAAATCCTGGGAGTGGGTGCTGTGGGGGTGCACGGTAAATATCTAGGCTCCCTACACTTATTGCCCAATCTAAGTTGGCCACGTTCCGGTTTGTGGAGGAGAAGTTGGCGGTTCGTCTATAAGGGTGGGCACAAAAGACGCTCTCGTGGGCTGCTAAGGAGACCCTGATTAAATCAGTTTCTTCGGCTTTACCACTACATGTTATGTCCTGTTTTAAGCTCCCTCTCGCCCTGTGTAGAATTTTGGACAGGCTTCTGGCTATATTTTGGTGGGGTGTGGAGGATGAGCATTCGCGTATCAGGTGGATGTCTTGGAGAAAAAATGTGTCGTAGTAAATACGAGGGGGTATGGGATTCCGGCGTTTTGAGCACTTTAATCATGCACTTTTGGCGAAGATTGGGTGGCGTATCGTATCGGAGCCAGAGTCTCTTCTGGCTCAAGTATACAAGGGCAAATATTTTCCCAATGGTACGTTCCTGTCTGCCACAGCATTCTCTATGGTCGCCAGTTATTGGAGCGGGGACTCTGTTGGCAGAT